CATCAGTCTCAGACAACACACTTACAAGTGGCCAGCACTAAATACAGGTGTAAACAGCCTCCAAAACTCTGTCATTCCTGAAGATTTATTTCTCAAATTTCTATTTTTTAAATGGATGGCAACTTGAAATTTCAATCAATGTTTTAGACAAAATGTATAGAAGACTCAGATGTGACGTAAAATACCATTCACATAAAATACCATTATTTATCATTTGTCCAACTGGTCCTGTAAACAATATGAAATGATGGTAAATAATAACTCAATTTAAAAACAATGAAATAGAAAAATGAATCCTGTCCCAGATCACATTACGATGTTGTAGCCCTGTCTGTTCCACATTTGGCTACAGACACATGGATAAACTTCAATATGACATCCAATGTGCACTCAGCAATTATAACCCCCAGGAAAAAGTAGATTGATTGTTGTTGAACTCTAGTTTAGTTCCTTACCTAACTGTGCAACAGAGATTTGACACTTTCAGGCCAGATTTACACAGTTGATTTCTGAGTAGTAAAGTGGAACTGAATAATTCATCTTCTGAACAGTGCTGAATAGGCAAAGATCTGCAATAAGAGCAATAGCAGCTGATCACAATTTAAAGTAAAATGTTGCAGTGTCATATTTAACATACTGATTAGTGATCAAAGTCTGAATTCTAAATACATATTAGATTTTAATTGACTGCTTTAAATTAATTAAGTGCCCTTGATTAATTGAGTGTACCTGAGGCTCGAACAAAAGCTGAAAAATATTTAAACATGGCATGAGATTGCATGTCTATCTGCCATTGTACCAACTAAATGTCAAAGTACGAAATGCAGATAATAGACTAATCTTTTTAAGATCAATTTAAATATAAAATACTGAAATCCTGAGGGGAAAACCATTTTAAAAAATATTGATAAGTTTTGATTGTTTTAGATTCTTGTAAATATGCAGGTTCCAAATCTTTGATAAAAATGAAGTATTCTAGTTTGAAAATAGAGCACCCAGTTTACGACAGAAGGTCTTACAGTACATAACTGCTCTAGTCATTGAAATGACATCTGCAAACATCAAACATGTCCTAAAGACTCTGTAAATCACATGGAACACAGACTCCGATCAGAGGAGTTTCATACCTCCCAGAACACAGACTAATTAATCTCACACCCCACTGCTCAAATTAAAAATAACAGCCCAGAGCACTGAATCTATGACAAACACAACAGATTAATAGCCTTGCAGCTGGTCAGTTATGTAAAAAAAATTAAATAAAATACTAAATTGTAATCTACTAATCTATTATGGAAATCCTAATATTCCAGAACAGCATTAGTATTGAAATTCATAGGGAACAAGCTCATGTAAGGCACCGATGTGTTTGTCCACTTATGCAAACGAAAATCGCCCGCAGCTGTTTGGAGGTTCATGTCGGCTTCATTACTTCTCTGCGTTTTATCTTTGCTGGTTTGGTTTGGCACTTGTTTAGAGCATGAAAAAGATCTCTTTAAACAATAGTCTAAATGGAAACAGAAATGACACATTAACAGAAGGAGTTTGATTAAATTACAGATGTGTTTTAGAACTTAAAGGGCACTAGGATGAAGTTGAGGGTAGCCAGAGAGGCTGAAAGAGTAAACCATATTACATTTCAGAAAAAAATAAAACACACTGTGCTGCTAATTTGCTGAGAAGCTTTAGAGACAGTAGCAAGTTATTAAACCTTGTTACAAGTCAAGCTCTACACAACCGAGAAGGGTCTGGCTGCAGACATGCACTTGTACTCTCAGACACCTGCGCTTCCACAAGTGACGTCACTTGCAATCTTTTTTTATTTTTTATTTTATGTATTTTTCATTTTTTTAATTGAATCTCACAACATTTTACAAAAGTAGACAAGAAAAAAGAAACAAAATTAAAATGTCACTTGCAATCGCTACCTGCACTGTCTGCTACCTGCGACGTCACTTGCAATTGACACAAATCATGCGTGTTGCCAATGGAGACAAGACACTGTGGCGGTTAAACGATTAAAACTAATTTAGTACTCATAACTCATAACGTACAGGGCCCTGCAAGTCACCTGTAGGAGAAAAAGACAAGACCTGCAAAATATGCACAATAGTGCATTTGAGTTATGGGTAGACTGTCAGATAGTTCAAAGGACATAGAACAAAAGACATGTAGTTTTCTTTTGAAATATAAGTTTACATATACAAACTAGAGGTCGACCGATTCATCGGTTTTGCCGATTAATCGGCACCGATAGTTGATTGGCGGAACTATCGGTTATCGGCAAAAATCAATGCTGACAGTTTTCCGGGTTGCGTCCTTTGCTGGAGTGGCCGAGAAGGGTCCGCTGCCATTATACAGTACGAGAGCGGCCTCTAGAGGCGGAAATCACTAACAGCACCTGTTGTTTGTTTTGACACGTGACACTGCGCGCTGCACAGAGCGGGAAACTTCAAACTCAAAAGAAAATCCTGCCGCGGAACAGAGCGCCATTCACATAGTATTCCATTAAATTACATTATATTTGTCCCAAATCATTGTTAATGTACGTAACGACTTCACCCTAGGCTATAAACTATGTATTGTGC